GTAGATGGGAGATTCCATTTATTTTAATGCCAGTAATAAGACATTCTTTCATGCAAGAATAAGCACTTCCAAGCACTTTTAAAAACATTAGTTCACATGTTATTTCCAAAAGTTTATTCTAAGACACTAAGTTGGCTGTTTTGTCTTGATCACCCGTTTCTGTTACCCATTCGTTTCAAAAGCATGTACTGTAGAGGTAGCTGTCAACTCCTGTGTTGTAAAGATTCCAGGAAGACCAATTCACAAAGGTGAGACTGCAGTTTTAATCACGTACAGGCACCAATTAGCCTTTTGAGGTGGGAGTCCGAGACTTGTACAGCTTGACCCATAAATGGTCCCTGTTTTATCCCCCTTTCTGCAGGGTGAAGAGCTGTAACACATCCAGGTAAAGCCACACATTTCAGTGAAGCACAATCTGAAATTTGTAAAAGGTGATGGTGGCTAGTTCTGTTTCTGTCACTAGTGAGCAGATGGTAAACCAAAAAAGGGGATGCCTCAGTGTTCTAAGCATCAGGTTTAAAACATATAGACTCTCAAACCACAAGTATGTATCCCTAGAGGGCCAACTCTTTCAAACTGTCTCCTCTACACACGTCTACCGATCCCATGTCATCTTCTGTAAAAGTGTTTGCCACAGTAGCCTTAGCCAAAAACTTCATTTCCTGCTGTCTATGCAGTTCTGTACCTTGGAAAGCATAATTCAGGGGCAAAGTGATGCTTGTTTGTATCTAGTTTGCACATCATTTCAGCATGAAAGATACTATAAACATACTCTGAAACATTATGCAGATAAACCTGAATGAACCTAGTGCTCAAAAGGTGACAGCTGCTTTTTACAAGGTAGGCTAAGAAATAAGAACTTTGTATGCTTTATAAAGGCATGAAAAGGTTTTACTCTTGTTTTGGGTTTTCGAAGGTGAGTGGGAAGGAGAGAGAAGAGGAGGTGACGGTCAGGTTGACTTCTTAAAACTGGGATAGATCAGGAGTACCAAGGCCATGCCTCCACTGCGGGCATTACAGCAGTAGTTACAGTTAGAGCACTGCAGCTATGCCACTGTAGAGCCTTAGAGTAGGTGCTCCCTACAATGAGAAATGGGATTGTTCCATTGCTGTGGTAATCCACATCCCCAAGTCACAGTAGCTAGGTCAATGGAAGAATTCTTTTGTCGACCTAGCGGTATCTAAGTCGGCTTAACTACAGCGCTCAGGGCAGTCAATTTCTCACACCTCTGAGCATGGTAGCTATGTCAACCTAATTTTTAAGTATAGAACAGGTCCAAGCCTGGTTTTTGCTGGAGTAGCTCTTGGGACTTTACAGATGAGTGTCAAACGTGTAACAATGACAACATTTCTCCAAAACACTGACTAAAGTCTGACAGGTGTTAACAATTTCAAAAAGTCCAATTAAAAATCCCTTCCCTCTCGGTGCTCAACTTTGTCTCTTCTGAAGCCACATTTTCACTCGTCTCATCAATATAATGGCTTTTAAAGCAGAAAAGACTTGAATTTAATTGCAAAAATGCAGGTTTAAAAAAAATCATATAGGTCTCCTTTCTATGTAATAAAACCCCCAAGAAAAATAAGGGGAGTGCATGAGAGGAAAAGTGGGCACAAGTTCAATGCTCCCCCTCTGCAACTCAGTGATCTTAATTCTATAAAAGCAAGTATCATTGTGGTGCAGAGCTATTTATTGTTCTTTAAAAGCAAACTATTTTAGCCACTAGATGGCAGCAGGAGGCTGTTATTTTAAAATAGTCAGAAAGTAGGGGAATATTTGGACTGCATTTTTTTTGTTCTGAATATTATTAGGGGATTATCTTTGTTACAAAAGTGACCTGGTGCTTAGCATGGCAGAACTACTGCTGAACAAAGTTTTTGGAACTGGTGCTTCACGTGGTTTGACCTTGTGTACAGTTGCTGCTGAATAGTCCTCAGCATAGGTTCAGTACACCCACTGTTAACATCCATCATTCACAATGGGTCACTCTCTGTAAAGTAGACAAACCCTCCTGATGGGGAGCTTCTCTCTTCCAAGTTTCCCCAACTGGAGTGTCCCTTTGAACAGATGCAGAAGTGCAAGACGTGCAATGAATGCAGTCTGAAGGGAAGCAGTAAGGAATGTAGTGTTTTCCTGTGACTTATTCAGCAGTGATGAACAGAACCAGCAAATAAAACGGCAGCAAGTTCCCATCAATGGGTGAAGGGAAGAACTACATTTGGAAACCGTCTGCAACTACTCTTTAGCTTTACTCCAACAGCAGCAGAAAGCTTCTGTAAGTACATTGGGAAAAATGTCTTTGGACAGATTCTGGAGGTCTGGGTCTGCTCAACCTTTGCTGCACCAATATAAACGCACCCAGATTAACACCTGCTTAATGGAGCTGTTTTTCTAATCGGGCACACACCAGGCTGTGTATAAGGAGGTGGTAGGGGGGATTTTTATGGCTCAGTATCTGCTGCAACTCAACCTGATCGAAAGAGAACTCTATTCTTTCCTCCTCAGCCCTCCACTCTTCCTCCTTCAACCATCCTCCTCATCTCTCAGGTTTACATTCTGTACCTTCTCTGACAACTCCTCACTACCGCTCCAGGCTGTCATTAAATCATGATACTTCTCCCCATTTTGGAGATCTGACTTTTCCTTTCCATCCCGACAGTTAAAACTTGTTCCCAACCTGATCTCCCACCTCAGGCACTCTTACCAACCCTCTGTTGCCATTCTGATACCTTTATCACCAAAACCATCCCTCCAAGCTGTCCAAGTGTCTGACAAAATTATCTTCCCCCAGTGCTTATTGTTCTGTGTCTGTTTCCCACACTGTTACTACTCCTTGGCAGACTGTCCCAGTAGCTGATTCTTGTACAGCACAGAACACGATTTCTAAAATAAATAAATAAATATAAAAATAAAAAACCACCAATTCCCTAGCTATGTTTTCAGGTAACTTCTATGTAGCCAAAATATATGTGAGAAATAAAATAAACAATTTATCATGCCTTAGAAAATGTAAGACCCACCTACTTTATTAATACCAAAGTTTGGATAGACTATTAAGAGAAAGGTATTTGCAAAGCCAAGCTGATTAAAAAAAAAAAAAAATCTATGAAAGGCCAAAAGGGGACCATTGTGATAGTCCAGTGTGCCTTCTTGCATAACACAGGCCATTGGACTTTCTTATATAAGTCCTGCATCAAGCCCAATAATTGTTCTTGTGCTAAAGCATCTCTTTAAAAAAAACAAACCAAACATTTAATCTTGATTAAAACATTTCCAGTGGTCTGCCAGAAACCACATCTTCATTTACCCTGCAAGAAACAAACTGAACTGTCAGCTTTGTACAGACCCCACATGAGTTGTGCGCTCTAGAAACGGCTGGATTCATTTTGTCAGAGCAGGGCTCCTGATGAGTGTCCATGCACTCATCCTTTTAAATCATTTCAACCAGAGATCAATCCAATTTGAGGGTCCTTGATTAATTTTCCACTTTTTTTCTTCCCTTTTGCAGGCTGAGGCCTTGGCCCTCTGCACAGTTTCCCTGCGTCCTGTGGGGTGGATAAGGCCAAACTGCAATACTGCTTCAAACACCACGTGTTCCCTTCTGATAGCAACAGCCCTGAGAGGCTCTGTGGGAAGGTGGACAGAGGAACACAAGTACTCTTTCCCCCTCCTCCCCACCTCCACGGAACAGCTGGGAGCCTGAGGGACACCACCTAGAAAAAAATTAAGCCTCACATGCATCAAAGGGTGCAGGTAAGGGAACTTCTGATAAAATCTAGGGCCTGCTTCTATTTAGTGGGTTTTGAAGCTCCCTCTGACTTCCCTGCACTGCTCTTCCAGTGACAAGTGAGGCAGGAGGAGAGCTGCTCCGGAAGAGGGAGTTCAAAGTGGTTTCACTGAAGCTGACAGAGGTCATCAGGAGGAGGAGAGATGATTTTGCCTCTGCAAACAGGCCAGAGGTTTTGTGGGGGGCCACTACTCTATATTTGTGTTAGAAAACAGAGTGACAGGTCATCTCCACAAGAGCATATAAATTGCTATATTGGTAAATGGTTCATCTATTCCAGCATCCTGTCTTCAAAAGTAGCCAGCTTCCAACAGCCATTGCTGCTAAAAGAACTACTAAAGCAGGGTAAGGGAGTTTTCTCACTTTCAAAGGAAGTAGGGTCCCATCATCCCTCTTGAAGCCCTCCTTTTCTGCACCGAGTCCCCTTTTTTTCTAGAAAAGTGAATAAAGGCTTAGATAGGTACATAAAGGGTTAAACAACTTGGGTTAAAAAAAAAATACACCTTGCCGTTTGTATGAAGTGAACATTCTGTTAGCAGTTGTGGGAAGGCCTTATAGAACAGGGGTGGGCAAACTGCGGCCCGGGGAGGCTGCATCCGGCCCTTCATATGTTTTAATCGAGCCCTCAAGCTCCCGCTGGGAAGCAGGGTCCAGGGCTTGCCCTGCTCCAGCACTCCAGCTCAGGAGCGGGGTCTTGCCCCGCTCTGTACATGCCGTGGCGCCATGTGGCTCCCAGAAGCAATGGCATGTCCCCTTTCTGGCTCCTATGCGTAGGGGCAACCAGGGGGCTCTGCACCCTGCCCCAAGTGCCACCCCTGCAGCTCCCATCAGCCTGGAACCGTGGCCAATGGGAGCCGCAGGGGCGGCACCTGCAGACAGGACAGTACGCAGAGCCACTGCATAGGAGCTGGAGGAGGAACATGCCGCTGCTTCTGGGAGCTGCTTAAGGTAAGCGCTGCCTGGAGCCTGCAGCCCTGACCCCCCTCATGCACCCCTATCCCCTGCCCCAGCCCTAATCCCCCCTCCTACCCTCAAACCCCTAGGTCCCAGCCCAGAGCACCCTCCTGCACCCCCACCCCAGAGCCTATAACCCAAGCCAGAGCCCTCACCCCCTCCTGAACCCCAACCCCCAATTTCTTGAGCATTCATGGCCTGCCACACAATTTCCATACCCAGATGTGGGTTTGCCCACCCCTGTTGTAGAATGTGGCTTAATTGTAAAAACTGGACTTGGAAGATAAGAGAAAAAGCCTTGCAGAAAGGGAGCCTAGTTGTAAATCTTGTCTACTCCAGGCCGAAGAAAAGGGTCCAGCCTTAAACTTCCCCAAACTGATTCTTAGCTATTGGTAATGACAATGCTTTTTTGTTAAAAGGTATAGAAGTGTACACTCTGAAAGAGTTCATTACTAGTGCCTGCTTCACCGAGCTGGAGCCAGCCAACATGGGTTTGAACACCCCTGGGTCTAATCCTCTTGTAAGTAGCGATCAAATACTTATCAATGTTTGTTACTTTATGGATATAGTAACTGTTTATTAATTGAGCTTTTAGACATGTTTAGCACAACTGTATACCATTCAGCCTTTAGATTAAATAAAGGAATGTATGGTTAAATTGGTACAGTGATATCCTAGTAATAATTCCAACTCTGAGATTCAGCACAGAAATGTGAAAGTTAAATTTCTTCATGTCCAGCAAAGCTTTAATCAGAAAACAAGAAGCTTTCTCTCTCAATTCTGCTTTTGCCTGAAAGGCCCTCAATTCCCTCTGGAACAGCTTTTTAAGGGGAGCAGTGGGGGCAAAAACCTAACTGGCTTCAAGACTGAGCTTGATAAATTTATGAAGCAGATGGTATGATGAGACTGTCTACTATGGTATATAGCCGATCTGCGACTGCAAGCAGCAGTATCTCCAATGGCCGGTGATGGAACACTAGATGGAGAAGGCTCTGAGTTACTAGAGAATTCTTTCCCAGGTGTCTATCTGGTGAGTCTTGCCCACATGCCCAGGGTCCAAATGATTGTTTATATCTGGGGTCGGGAAGGAATTTTGCCCCAGGTCAGTTTAATAGAGACCCTGGGTTTGTTTTGGGTTTTTTTTGCCTTCCTCAGCAGCATGGGGATAGGTCACTTGCAGATTTAAACTAGTGTAAATGGTGGATTCTCTGTAACTTGAAGTCTTTAAATCATGATTTGAGGACTTCAGTAACTCAATCAGAGGTTAGGGGTCTATTACATGAGTGGGCGGGTGAGGTTCTGTGGCCTGCAACGTGCAGAAAGTCAGACTAAATGATCAAGATGGTCCTATCTGACCTCATAGTCTGAGTAATTCCACCATGTGGCAGCATCAGAGAAATATCTGCATTTTAGTTACAGAAGCCAAGTGGGTGGCAATCCAGAGCTGCTGACGATATTATTCTGCCTTTAACTGTGAAATTAACAGATTCTGAACTACATTAGTTATAGGGGTCAAGCCTGAAGTTTTAATCCTACAGCAGCCATGCAACAGCTGCCTTCTGTCCCATGCCAAACCTTAAAGCCCTGTCTGCGCACCATTGAAAAAAGACCCAAGAAAACTACTGGGCTCCTCCCTTCCCTGTTTAAAGTATTATTTGGAATCTCTCTTTGTCCAGTTCATCTTTTGTTGTTAATCAGTACTATCAATTCCTGATTGCAAATGTGATTATACAGCAATTCATGCTCACAATGTTGCTGTGTGAACTTCATTCCACAGTTCTCTATGCATGACAATGCTGATGGTTAAATATGCATGGTTTAAACCAGGGGTGTCAAAACTTATTCTGTGGTGAGGGCCATTTACCCTTTTGGTTGGATTCCATAGATTAGAGAAATAAATTGGGTGAGGTAGCATCTTTTATTGGACCAACTTCTATTGGTGAGAGACAGACAAGCTTTTGAGCCACACACAGCTCTTCTTCACAGACCCAGAAAATAAAATTTCTCAGCCAGCCACATTGCGGAGGCACACATTTTTAGTACTGCCTCAGGGAAAACCCCCTCTCATTGGCTGCTTTCCCCACTTGCCTTCTACCTAGGAAAGAGTAGCCAAATCAGGACAGCTGCAGACGTAGCGCTGCTCTCCATCTCCACAGGAGCTCACATCAAGCTCATGGCAGGAGGGAGCAAAAAGAGCCCAGCAACTCAGGGCAGCTGCTCCACTTCCTCCTCCTCTGCTCTTGTGAGCAATGGGAGGGATGTATTCTTTCCCTGCTTCCCCCTCCCTCTGCAACACTGGTCTGAGAAGGGGGAGAGACCTGCTGCAGCCCCCTTACCCACTTCAAAAATAGACCAGAGAGGGAAGAACCCCAGAAGCTGCAGAGACAAGGCTGGGACCAGGGGCAGAACTGATGGCAGGGTTGGGGGACAGGATTGGTTTAAATGGGAGAGAATTAACTGTTGGGCAGGAGGATAGGAAATGTGGGGTGAAGAGACCCTCCCTCACACAGCACTGGAAGCAGCTCTCTTCCCCAAGGCTGAGCTGCTTAGAGCAGCAGGAAGAGACAAGAGGAAGTGAGAGGCAATTGCTCTTCTGGGCCTGGTGCTGCATGGCTCAACAGTGGCAACAAGTGGGGAAGGAATCTCCTGTTTGAGATGTGGTGAGAGCTCAGTTGACTGTGACCAGTCAGGTGCAATCTTGCTCCTCCCAGGCTCTGGCCCTTTTGAAGTGTAGCACCTGCAGGATGGATGCCTTAGAGGAGGAGGGAGCTGCAGACGGGAGGAAAAGATCTTCTGGGCCTTATGTTTGATACTTCTGGTTTAAACTAATTGTTTCTCTAGATGCAGGTTAGGAGGAGAAACATCCTCCTTGAACTGCTTGCCTCCCATTGGATTCTCTTATATAAATCAAACAGAAGTAGCACAAGCCTACTCCTAGCAGAGCTAGCTTGAATGTTTCAATTTGGCTTTTGCGACCAGATGACCCATTATACTTGGACCTCTGCAGTCAGAAGAGTTATGTTCATTCATTTCATTATGACCTATGTGGAGCTGTAAGCATGAATAAAGTTAAGTAACTCATGTGTTTCTGAATGTTTCTTTCCTGTACATGGCATCACAGTATTGCCAACCTCAGGCATTCAATCAGAACAAAACAAAAAAAACCTTGGAGCTCATTTTATTTGCCTTCTGAGCCTTTGGGGTACATTCAGGTCACATTTTTAACCTTTTCTCTGCAACCATGAGAGCTGGAATTTTTGTTTTTTCTAAACAAAAGCTGAGATTCTCACATATGATTGCAGGAGAGGGGGTTTTAAGGAAAAAAACCCAGGTATCATGAGACTAAACATAAAATCATGAAAGTTGGCAATGCTGCAAAGTGCAACTTTACGAGAGTGCTATATTAATTGAACCATGTCAAACACCACTTTCAGAGCAACCACTGCAAGCAATAGACTCAATCTCAATTTTAATAACAGCTTTACTGTCCAACAGCAAAAACTATACACAGGGAACAGCAATTCTTCCCCTTTCAATCTTTCCTGGGTTGACAAACTGGTGAACAGATCCTCAGCATTACAAAGGACAGGGTTTAGTTTGTTTAGAGTATGCCAGGTAGCAGATTTTTGCTCCAAACTACAGTATATGGCACACACAATTTTTGCTTTTGAATAATGTACGCTAATTTAAGGAAGAAAATGAACACACTGACAAAGATTTGCATAGCTTGCTTTGAAGTTCTCCTTTCTTCATCATCTGAAACGCAGTGAACCACAGGTTTTTTAAATGGTGAGAAAATGGGTGCTTTCCAGTATTAGAAATTACCAATATCAAATTGTCCTACTTAAGCTAATGAATGTTTCTCTCACTTTTCTTCTTCCAAAGTTGAGCAGAAAAGTGTTTGCTATTTTAAAAATAAGATGACAAAATTAAAAGGGCAACTGTTGGCCAAGGAATAAAAATATTTCTAGACAAGAATTTCGTCAATTTCCACACACAATATTACTGTTTATATTTGTCTGAATCTCTCAGCTGGATAGAATCTGACATGCAGAATGCTGTAAGAATGTTAGACGAAATAAAAATGACAAAGGGTTTTTTTTTTTAATAAAATTGAATTTTATTTCTTCATTACAAGGTAAACTAGCATTGCAGTTTAAGACCAACAAAAAGGTTGGACAGCAAATTGCTAAATAGTCTTCTAAAGGCTGGAAGAAAGGTAATTAAAAAAGAAAACCAGTGAAAAGTGAAAATTAATGCAAAATTCTAAGCATAACATGAAAAAGGAATGAGTTTTAAAGTTAATTTAGAATCCTAGGTGCCTTAATTGAAAATGTATTCAGAAATGCACCTTACCTTGCTGAGAAATCTAGGACTCCAGAAACTCAATACCTTATGACACTCTTTGGCCTGCTGGTATTAGGAAGCTGTTACTATTCATAAAAACCCTTTTTGAGTCAGGCATTCATACAGATACTAGATCAGTTTACAATTTGCAATGTAATAATTCTGCATTTCTATTAATACAAAAATTTCCAAGGTCACACTTTAAAATTATGTCTTGAACAATTGCACCTTTGAGTAGAATGGAGATCAGGGAGAACAACAGTACAGGAAGACCATATAAGGCTGAAGGAGTCATCAGTGCTAGTTACCCTTTGTAAATTTCCCAAAAAGGAATTTATTCTCCTTTCAAACACTACCTATTTTTTTTCAAGACATCAATAATAGTAAGCAAACTGAATTTGACATCACTTGTATTCAGAATGCATACCCCTTATTTTCTCAGCTTTATAGGATGTCATGGGAATGTATATATTTAATAACATAACATGTGGCAACAACATGAACAGTTCAAAATCTTCTTTACACAAAATACACTAAACAAGGGGCTGTGGTGTCAACAAGCTCTATTAATTGGTTATATTACAATTCTATTAATGATGAATTCTATACATTTAAGATTATTCTATTTTACCATCATGTTTGGTTGGGAAATTTCAAATTAAATTTCTCCTTATTTCAATGAGATAAACTATAAATTTGACTACCTTCAGGTTAGCACCTGTAACAAAACTAGTTATGTTTCAGAAGATGGATAGAAAAACTTTAAAACATAGTTGGATCTACACCAGAACACAAATATCCACACTTAATAACTCGGGGTAAAGAAAGGACTCAAACCTCCAAATCTCAACTGGCCTCAAAGGTTCAAAACCTAGAGGGGCCCTTTATCATGTCTGATCCGACACAGGAAAAATCCTGAGAGAACATATGACCATGGATATTTCCATAAAAAAACAAACTTAGCTTTCGTTCAGCCTCTAAGCAGAGCCTAAAATGATCTGGATCTAAGATGACCCTTTAGACCATCCCTATTTTTTTTAAAAAAAGAGCATTTTATCAATATTGTAAACATTATAGCATCTTTAATATGGAACTTTTCACCAGGAGTTATCCCACTGTAAAAAACAACCCCCTAAATTGTAGGAGATTAAAGGTTCTGAATAATGCACATTC